CCTGCTTGTTTTTGCTCTCTGGAGAACTTTGAGATTGTCAGAGATAATTGACTTACAAGAAGGAAAGGGTGGCTTTGGCTCATTGGGAGGTTCCGGTCTGCATTCAGATTCTTGCTGTCAGGCCTGTGGTCAGAGATCCATCACAGCAGGGCGTCCAGGGAAGAGGAAGCTGGTCCTGTCACAGCATCCAGGAAGTTGAAAGAGAGAAACAGGAAGGAGTCCATGTCCCCAAATCCCCTACAAGGGCATGCCCCAGCGACTTAACTTTCTTCCACTAGGTCTTCCCTCCCTATAGGCACCTTAGGCTGGGCACCAAACCTCCAACACTTGGCTTTTGGATCCTATTTCAATGTAAAAAACAACAAATATAAACAAACAACAAACAGATTCTCTAGCTATCTGTCACTCAATGCATTGTGTCCCTGATACAAACTATATCCAGGAAAAAACAAAACAAAACAAAACATAATGGGAGTAAGACTTTTTTTTTAAGTGTTGAATGTATTCCTAGGCACTGTACCTAATGCATTGTAAGCATTTCATTTCATATGTGATTTCACTTCATTTTTTCACTATTTCATTTCATTTTTTAGGAAGAAGAGGACAATGAACCCAGGGAGGTGAGAAACAAATGAGAGACCTAGAGTTTTTTATGTTTTCGCCCTCTGGAGAGTTTCTTGGTCCCTCATGGTGAAATAAGGTGCAGCTTGCCTGAATTGAGGGACAGAGCTGAAATGTAAATAGATGATGTATGCTATCATTTGCAGGAGAGAGCACCAGAAAGAGCTATGCAGATAGAGAATTTCAGAGATCTGAAGAGGGCCCCACTGATTTAGAGAACTGATTAGTGATCAGCACAGGCATATTAAGAAAATACTCAAGGCCATGGAAAAAGCATATGAAGGGATTAAAGAAGACAATACTCAGGAAAGGGACTAGCTCTCTAGGCCACCAGACAGACTGGAAAATTCAGGATTCCCAGAGTACTGTGTAGAACACACAGATGTGTCTTTTTTTTTTTTTTTTCAGTAATGGGAACAATTAGCCTTAAACTGGACATTGGATGTTATCTATCTATCTATCTATCTATCTATCTATCTATCTATCTATCTATCTATCTGTCTGTCTGTCTGTCTGTCTGTCTGTCTGTCTGTCTGTCTGTCTGTCTGTCTATCTATCTATCTATCTATCTATCTATCGATCTATCTATCTATCTATTTAAAGCTGGGTACCGGTGGCTCACACCTGTAATCCTAGCTACTCAGGAGTCTGAGATCTGAGGATCACCATTTGAAGCCAGCCTGGGCAAGAAGTCTGTGAGACTCTTATCTACTCAGAAGAAGCCAAAACTAATTGCCTTAGCTCAAGTAGTAGAGGGCTATCTTTGATTGAAAGAACCTCAGGGACAGTACCCAGGCCCAGAGGTCAAGCTGCAGGACAAGCAAAAAATAAATAAAAATACCATAGCTAAGATATGGAACCAACCAAGAGGCCCCTCAGTAGATGAATGGATCAAGAAAATGTGACACACACACACACACACACACACACACACACACAATGGAATTCTATGCCTCCATCAGAAAGAATGACATTGGCCCATTTGTTAGGAAATAGAAAGACTTGGAAAAAATTATATTAAGTGAAGTAAGCCAGGCCCAAAGAAACATAGGTCCCATGGTTTCCCTTATTTGCAATAACTAGTATATGTCTGGGACAAGCAGAAAAGGTTTTCAAAAGCTATGTACATATGATCAAATAAGATGATGTTAAGCAAAATGAACCCCAAGATAGGGATATAAGTGTTTTTTTTTCTTTCTTGATATTGTTTCTAATGTATTTATAATGTGCCATGTGATTTTTTTTTTTGTTTCTTTGTACATTCCTCTTCCAAGGTATAACCCCTGTTTTCACTGTATTTGATGTCAGTGCTCTGCATCTTGTATGCATATACACTTCTCTAATTTGGGGAGGGGAAGGGAAAAAACAAAATGCTTAAATAGGGATACAGGGCAACCCATTGTAACAATGAGAAATACAAGACACTATGTTGAAAAACGAACAATTTAGGCAAGTGGGGGGGGGGAGTGTAGTTGTGGAGGTGGGAGGGAAGGGATGGTAGGGGAAAAACAAAGGAGGCTGTAACAATGCTTGATAGGAAATGGACTCATTACCCTCTTCACGTAACTGTAACCCCTCTGTACAGTATTTTTACAATAAAAATGTATAAAATAAATAAAAATAAATAAATAAAATTTAAAAACTAAGAAATTAAAAGTCTTAAAAGGATTAAATTATTTCAAAGATCCTAAGTTTTTTCCAAAACAAGTTTCAGGAATATTTTTAGAGATATAAAAATACCTAATACCTGTTGAGGTAAAACCACAATGTCTGTTATCCCAAGTTATGAGCCCTGTGGAGAAAGAAAAGAAAAAACAGAACCAATATATATATATATATATATATATTGGAGGAAAAAAACTGAAACTAACGTGGAACTAACACAGGTGCTGGAACTGTCAAACAGGAATATTAAGAAAATATTCTAACTCTGTTAGAATATATCCCTATACATCCAATGAAGCATTGGAGATATACAAAGGATCTGACTTAAACTTTTAAGTAGGGAAATTATAATATCTCATGTATTAACTATATTAACATATAACTACATTGGCTTATAACAATATATAACAAGTATATAGCTATATTGTCTTAAAACATTAACTATATTAATATCAGACAAATTATATGTTAGAACAAAGAATACCACCAGTTCTGTGAGAGTCACTTCCTAATTATAAAGGTGTCATTAAATCAAGAGGATGTAACACCCAACAACATCCAATTACAGATCTTCAAAACACATAAATGAAAACTTACTGAACTGCTTGAAGTTCTGACAAACTCACAGTTATAGTCAGTCTATGCTACTCCCAATAACTGATCACAAGAGGGCAGAAACCACTGAAGGATGTAGAAGATTGGAATATCACTGTTAAACAAGCAATCTAACTGACGTTTATTGAACATTCCTCTTCACGCTTATGGATCACTTCACTCTTGCCATCATTATTTTCATAACAAGCAAACTGGCATGAAGCAAGTAGGCAAAACTTGGTGAAAGTTACAGTGATTGTGCCCTAGCTGGGCTTTGAACCCAGTCTATCTGATCCAGGGCTCTTAATCGCTTGGCTGTATGACCTCCCCTGAGCACCTGGGATCACTCTGGACTCGAGGACTTAGAATGCAATCCTGCTTAATAAACAAAGGAAGGGACTACTCACATAGCATTCAACATTCTCTAAATACTACTTGGAAAGGAAGTGTGTTCCCCTTTCTCCTCTCATATTCCTACTCAACCCAAATGGCCCCTCTGCTTTCTTCAAGAGACTTACAGGTATCATAAACTCAGGTCTCATGGCCGCTGGGTCTGAAAGCGCAGTCGCAGAGCATAAAAGGCTCCTGGGCTGCATCTTCCTGAGGCTGCCCTAATGTTGGATGGGTGGTCTAATGCATATTCAAACACTGATCAAGATGTCCCTTCCCCCCTTCTTTCGATGCCAGCATCCAGACAACGCCTTTTCCAGGGAAGGCACAAGCTTCCATGAGAAGGAAGCAAAGACTCTCTGCGGACCTGCTATTAGTACTGCACACCACCGTCTGTCAGAATTGCAACACGGCCAGCCAGCGAGGGGAACACCTTTTGAATGGATCTTTGGCTGAACCCTGACAAGTCATGGTTGTATAGCTGTATTACTCTGCTTCACTTGGCTCTGCTGCTTTGCAGAGGGTTCAAATTGCTCAGCAAATGTGACTTTTGATCATGAAATGTAACAAATCAGGTTTCTCCTTCACCCGAATTCAATATGCCTCATTCCTTTTCATCCCCTCACCCCCTTAATCCTTTCTGCTGGACCTCCATCATTCATTGCCACCCAACTTGCTCCTCTAGCAACCCCAAGTAGTCAGGGACTTGCTTGTCTGCCTCACCCCCTCCCCCACCCGTTCCTGCCCCCTCCCACCCCTTCCTCCTTTCCCTTCACTGAGGTTCCTCTCCCCAAGAGTTCAAAGTGTGCTAAGTGTGTAAGTAGCCCAGTGGAGTGAATTTTCTAGCTCCCTCTCGTGGCTGGGCTGAGGGGGTGGGGGTGCTGAGGGACAGGAGACTGGGCTAGGACATCTTGGCTTCTGGGTGGGGGTCGAGTTATGATAAAAGAAGAATCAGAAGCCGCTGTGGCACACGTAAGGGGGGGGGGGGAGAGAGAGAGAGAGAGAGAGAGAGAGAGAGAGAGAGAGAGAGAGAGAGAGAGAGAGAGAGATTCCCTTTGTGCTCCTCAAAGCAGTGTCCCTTCCTTAGGGTCTTCGCCACACATGCCTGCAAGCCATTGTTTATCCTGGGGTTTTGGAGGTTGAGTAGAGTGAGGGTGTAAGCTCTTGCCTGGTACTGAACTGACCCCAGAATCAGTGGAAGGGGAAGTCACCCCTCCAAGGCGGGGAGTGTGTGTGTGGGGGTCCAGGTCAGGAGGAGGGGGGGGGGGGGAGAGCGGCAGCTGGCCAATCAGGAGGCGAGGCCGAGCCAGGCTTCCCTCGCCGCGCTGGGCCGGGGAGCTGCGCGCAGTGCCGAGCGGGGAGGGAGGCGGATCGCGGCGCGGCGCGGCGCGGTGGCGGGAGGGTGCACGGCGGGACCCGGCCGCGCGCTGCAGGCTCTTTGCGCGGACCCCGGGGCATGCATGGACCCCGCACGCTGCCCGCATCCTGCCGCTGCACGCAGCGCCTGGCCGGCGGGCAGATAAGAGCTGGGGGAGGGAGGAAGCTGCGTGCAGACAAAAGCTGCGCTGCCCCACACCGCCCAGCCCAGCCGCTTCCCAGATCCAAACTTTGGGGAGCTCACGCGCCCCATGAGTAGTGACTGAGAAGAAACCCTCTGTCTCTTTGTAGAGGAGGACTAAGTACCGTCCAGGGGGAGGTGAGGGGGGGAGGGCAAAGAAAAGGAAAAGAAGATGATTTCCTGGGAAGTGGTCCTCCAAGTGTTCCTGTGGGCTCTGCTGTCCTCTTCCCGGGCTCAGGACGCCAGCCCGCCGTGGGAGAGCGGGGCGGAGGGGATCCCCGAGGGGGCTTCCACCTTGGCTTTTGTGTTTGATGTCACGGGCTCCATGTACGATGACTTAGTTCAGGTGATTGAAGGGGCTTCCAAAATTCTGGAAACGTCCTTGAAAAGACCCAAGAGACCTCTCTTCAACTTCGCATTGGTGCCTTTCCACGATCCAGGTAAGAGAAATGCGTCTCACTCAGCATTTGCTGTGTCTGGCGGTTATGTGCTTGTTATGCTCTGGAATTGAGAGTTTCCAAAGCATTAAAAAAATGTGCTGCCGAGAGTACAGTTGTAACAAAGAATGGCTGGCTGGCATCTGGGCTTGCTCTCGGATACCTCTTGCAGCCACAGCGTAGAGGGCTTGTTTAGGCAACTTGAACAGCCCTGTGCCCCAAACCTGGAGGTATGGGCCTGGTGAAAAGCAGAAGCCAGAGACTTCATCACAGCAGCAACTCGGAGTTAATTGACTTGTGTTTACAGTTAAAGAATGTGTGGCTGGGAAAGGTAACTTGGACACGGTGTTCAGTAGCAATACCGACTTGATGTGAAGAGCTGACATTCATGTTCAAAGAACGCGAAGGCTAGCCAGCACATAAGGAGGGAAAAGCTGTGGTGTGATCCACAAGGGAACATGTAAGTAGTCACTGCTGGAATGAAGAGAGAAGCCATTCATTTCCAAAGGAATCTACTTATCTTCTGCACCAGGTCATGGGTTACTTAGGTTCACAGATGGGTGTAAATAGTGAGGTCCAGGTCTCATTCAGTAGAAACACATGCAGAAGGGTATGTCTGTGCTCGTCAAAGGTAGTTAAAGCAAAATAACTTTATTTTGTGCCCTAGAGCTATGGGTTTCAGCTGCTCCACTGAAATAGGATCCTATTTCCTCCCCCCACCCTTCTTCCAGTTTCTCTTTAAAGTAGCACCTCTCTGTGAGGCCTATAGGAGCCTCCATTGTCATCCCAGAGGGTAGCATTACCAGGGTGCCCTGGGGCTTGCTGTCTCTTGTCCACCTGAGTTTCATTAGCACAAGTTGCTGCCCAGTGGAAGAAATAAAGCAGTTGTTTCTCCAAAAAAAAAAAAAAAGTCCTCCCCCACTGCCCTCCCACATTCTTCCTGCTTTTGAATTTCTCTTCTCTTTACCAGACTTCTGACACAACCTCTTCAGAAGGAGAGTATGATGTTGAGAACATTCTTTCCTGGTGTATTTGACAAATCTAAATGAGTTCAGATTGCTTCTGCTTATTAAGTATGGTAGGCTTCCAGCTATTAAAAAATTAGAGGGAAATAGACTCTCTGGGATTTTCATGTTCTTCAAATGGCAAAAAAAATCACCTCTTGGATTTCTTAGTAATTTCTCGATTGATTAAAGTGGATACAGTCTTCATAAAGAATAAAGAACTGAGTGGTCATTTAGTGTGCTTATTGTCCTAGTAGGACACTTCAAATGTTATGATGCTTCAGTCTGTAAACTGTCAAGAAGCCAATTGTGATGTAGTTGGAGGCTTTTGTTACTTTGGAATATCCTAACCATATTTCTTCCATAGAGATGGATCTGAAGTTGACAAATGTGTAAAATAAAAAACATTTCTCCTAATTAACACTACATCTCTCCAGAAAAACTTTTTTTTTTTTTTTTTGGTCGGTCATGGGGCTCGGACTCTGAGCCTGAGTGCTGTCCCTCAGCTCTTCAGCTAAAGGAGAGCGCTCTACCACTTGAGCCACAGCGCCACTTCCGGTTTTCTGGTGGTTTATTGGAGAGTTTCACAGCCTTTCCTGCCTGGGCTGGCTTTGAACTGTGATTTTCAGATCTCAGCTTCCTGAGTAGCTAGGATTTCAGGTGTGAGCCACTGGCACCCTGCCAGAAAAACACTTTTCTAATTATATTGTTGGAAACAAAATACAAAATTTGTCTCAAGTCATAAGTGAAAATGGGGAATCATGATCTTTTGAGGCGATATGAAAGATTGATGTCATGAACTGTATTGTGGTGTGCTGTCTTCCCATAGCTACCAAGTGAGAAAATTTGCCGAGGGTCTGTAGTTGACTTTTCTGTAGTTCTGCTGCCAAGATTCAAAGTGGGAGAATCATAGCAGAGCTTTAATGAACTAAGTTAATGGGAAAATTATTAATTAATGTAAATTGCTCTTATAAAAATTGTATATATCTCAATAAAATTAAAGGAATGGCCAAGACTTCATGTTAGAAGACACAAAATATTTTTTGAAGACAGAAATTAAAATTACTATTAACTTTTACCTTAGTAATTGTTCTAATAGATTATAATGCTATCTTTGTGGTGTGTGTGTGTGTGTATGTGTGTGTGTGTGTGTAATTCTGAGGTTTTGGTTCTCTTGTATTGGTGATGGGGTTAGATCAGAAAGAGTCATGAATAGGGATTGGCTGTTTTTCTGAGTGACAATAGAAACGTCAATTTTCCTTTTAAACCTCACTTTCTTTAATTAAAAAATGAGAGAACTGAATCTAAACATTATCTGAAGTCACTTCTCATAGTGGCATTTCATGAGTCTCTGTGTTGCATAAGGTTTTTTCACAGTGTCAAACATATATTCACATGGAACAATGTTGAAAGAAGTAATATACAAAGTTAATATAGTGAATTAAGTTAATTGTTTTAATGACTTGAGTGCTGTTGAGTACTATCACAATTAGCTAACTGAAATGGTGGTTATGTTCTGGGATGTAGTCTAAAAATTTTGACCAAATACTTACCACGTGATTGCTTTGGAGCTATATTTAAGAGTTTGGGGCAAGGCGTACTTGTGATAAGGTTGCATCGAAGGTATATGGAGAATGGACTAGAGGCATGAATAAAGTGGTACCACACCTGCCTACCTAGCACAAAGGTCCCAAGTTCAACCTTAGTACCATAAAAAAGGAAAAATGATGTAGAAAGTTGTAGAAGAGGAAGAATGTCTCCTCTGGAGATGATGAGGTGATAGAAAGCCATTTTAATATGAGCACATGGAAAGGCAATACAGGAGCAATAGCCACGGGGGAGAAGAAGGAGGTACCAGAGGCAGCCAGGGGTCATGGAAAGGGAAATCTACCTTTTGATGCTGATTAGCATTTGGACAGTGTCCTACTCCCCAATCATATTTGCTGTATAAATTTGTTACTTCGTTCTTGAGATGTAATTCCCTTGCCATACTATTCATCCACTTAAAATACATAATTAAGTGAGTTCCACTGTATCCTAAGCTATGTGAAAGGATTACCACAGTCAAGTTTAGAATGTGATCTTCAATTCATAAAGAAATCTAGTACATTTTAGCTCCCTTTTATAGTTCCCTTCCAGACGTAAGCAACCACTAGTTTGCTTTTTTGTCTCTCTAGTTTTCCTGTTCTAAACTATAATAGGAGTAGAATCGTATATTAGATGGCATTTTGTAACTGGCTACATAATCTTCTCAAGTGTCATTCAAGTGGTAGCATATATCAGAACATTATTTCCTATAGTCAATGCATTGTATAGCGTCCCATATTTTTGTTAATAAATTAGTTTGTGATGGATTTTTGGTTTCTGTCTATTTCAATCTTTTTTTAAAATAAATATTCATGTGCAAGTTTCTTTGTGGTTATGTTTTCATTTCTCTTGGGTGTATCATTAAAAGTACAATTGCTAGGTACCAGTAACTCTGCTTAATTCTTTCTTTCTTTTTTTTTTGGTGGTGGTGGTTGTGGGGGGCTGAACTCTGGGCCTGGCCATTGTCCCTCAGCTCTTTAGCTCAAGGCTAGTGCTCTACTACTTGAGCCACAGTGCCACCTCTGGCATTTTTCTGCTTATGTGGTACTGAGGAGTTGAACCCAGGGCCTCACCCCACCAAAAAAAAAAGTGTATAAAAGTTCATATTTTTCCACATCATCTCCAACATGTTATCAAACTTTTGGAATCTTTTGTATTAATATTTTCTGTATTTTCAGCACTCAAAATGTATCCCCTCCCTTCTTTGGAACACAACTCCAGAGGAGGACTGATGGTTGTTCTTGACTATACAGTTCTTTTTTTTTTTTCTGTCAGTAGTGGGGTTTGACTGGGTGTAGGCACAGTTTCTGGGCTCCTTTAGTTCAGGGCTAGCACTCTGCCAATTTGAGCCATGGCAAACTTTGTTTTCTGGTTAATTGGAGATAAGAGTCTCACAGTCTTTCCTGCCAGAGCTGGCTTTGAACTGAAATCCTCAGATCTCAGCCTCCTGTGTAGCTAAGATTACAGACATGAGTCATCAATGACTGGTTTATAGTTCCTTTTATTATTCCTATTTCTCCTTTTCTCTGTGAGACAGACAGAAACAAAAAGGGAGAGAGCCCCATGGTGTTTCTAACAAGTTGCTTTTACAAAAGGAAAAGTTCCACCTTCTCTTTCCCAATTATGTTTCCCTTTTCTTCCTAAATATCTGATCATATTATACATTCTTCATTCACCTACCTACTAGATGTTAGGCATTGCTTCAGGCACTGAGGATACAGAAAGAAATAAAAACACATACAATCCCCAGTGCTCACCATACTTTCTATTGGAGGAAAAGGACACAAACAATTAAGAAAATAATTAAAATGCATTAGATACCTTTGATGGTGATAATTGCCATGGAAAAGCATGGATAGAGACTATTGGAATTTTAAATACAGTGGCTGGGAAAGCTCCCAAAGACAAGATCTCTTTGAACAAAAACTAGGAGGAGGTGAGGGAGGGAGTGATAGGGTAGCTGCGGAAAGACCAAAGGCAGATGAATAATTAATGAAAAGCCCTTCTGGCAAGAGGATCCTGATGAATTCAAGAAACAATGAAAAGACCAATGTGTCAAGAATACTGTGAAGGTAGGGAGAACTTAGGAGCTGGGGTTAGGAACTAGATGGGGCCAGTTCAGAAAAAGGCTCAAACGTCCCTGTGTCTTTGGATGGCAAATTGTAAAGTTTTCAATGGAGCAGTAACGTGATCTGATGATTTGTGTTGGAGAGAATTGGAAATGTAGCAAGGGTGGACACAGGAAGAATTCATAAGGCGTGGAGTAAGTCAGCAGAAGATGCTGGTCTGCCTTGTGTACAGAAATAGTTAGGCTTTGTATGTAGTTTGAAGGGGACACTGAATGGATTGGGTAATGGATTGTACAGTAGAGTCTGAGGAAAACACAGAAGATAAGGCATGTCCTCAGGACTT